TTAATTCAATGCTTGACTTTACCATAATTAGTATAGCATTTAATTTGATCAAAAACTTTCTGTAATTTTAAATTATTTCCATGTTGAAGCTGTATGTTTCCGAGCCCTTTTGTACCATTAGTCAAAACAGAATCTTTTTCATTGTTGAATGTAAATTCACGTTAAAACACAGTAGCCCCTCACTGCAGAGCACAAGATCCAGGGGGCGTGGCTGGATCCACATCTAGAGGGTGGAGATTTGTAGGTTTAGGGTTGGAGATGGGTGGGTTTAGGGATCAGGGGGTGGAGACGGGTAGGTTTAGGTATATGTAAGGTGGGAGGAGTAAAATGTGTTTTTTGAACCTTAAACCGCATAAACACATTTCATTACACCAAATACACAAAATAATGTTCTTTTTAGCAAGATCATATGACCCATTTAAAACATCTATATGTTTTTCATGTTATGAGCACTAATGGACGGATTTATTTAATTCCTGACATTTCCATCTTTTAGTATCCGCTTATTAAGTCTGACGTCACGCGTCACCACTTCCTGGTCAAAACACACTATCAGATGCCACAAGAAAACAACAAACGGTGCTAATATACACTCACAATGTGATATAAAACTACCAACAAAGTATAATCCTAACCTTTAATTATTTTTTTGGAGAGGGCAATGCCTCTCTTGCCTCCTCAGAGAAAGCGGCCCTACGTGTTGCTGTTGTAAATAGGAGAGATGTGTTGAACAAGTGAACAGCAGAGGCTCTCAGCACAGCCTGATAGATTCAAAGCTAGCGCGGCTCCTCTGAGCAGACATCTGAAGAGGCAAGAGGGCAGAGGAAGGCTGGACTCAAAACCTTACTCTGTAGCCAGAATCTGTGAGATAACCTGCCATGAGTTACATACTTCAAAACTGCACACGAGATGCAAACTGCTTGTACTTTTTTGCAGCATATATACTGTGCAAACATTTTTTCATGCATGAAGGGTTCAGATGACATACTGCGTTTGTCAAAATGTGCAACCAATACTGCTATTTGTCATCTTTTATTTGCCCCCGGGTTGTTCCGACCTCGTTTTCTTTCTTCCCTGAAACACAAAGATGTTGCATATCGTTTAACATGCTACTATTAAAAATTACTAGACAGTACAAAGTATGCACTGTACAGAAGAGAGTAGGCAGTGCGCTAGCGTTCCATTCTGAACGCAGCCGAGGAGTGTAATCAGATTCAGGTGGACTCGGGAGGTCCAATCAGATTTAGGTCTGTGGCCTGATGACTAATTAGATCTGTAGTCTCTTGATCAGTTACTTCCAAGCCTGTGGTCTCTGCACTGAACGAGCATTGCTCAGCTCAATTAACCCACCCCAAAGTCGGCGCCTAACAAAAATAATCGAATTTAATGGTGTAATTGTGCAGCAAGGCACCATTTTACCCCGCTGTAAACCTATGCAGTAGATTCAAATCTGAACAAAGCACTGATGACCCTCTACAAAGCAGGTCGGTGGAGATCAAGATATCATCATGCTCAATATTTATCAGCGACGATCTCAAACACCTCCACTTTGCGGCTAAATTGAGATGTTGCCAAGCAACCGCATGGTATAGTGCCAGGAGCGCAGCTTTACAGCATCCCCAGTTGTGTCGTTTATCTCTTAGAAACACTAGACTGTCTGCCTTTTTCTGTAGAACAAGTTTAAAGGTGTCACACAAAACAAGCAAATGCATACTGCGATGCGTTCCGATGGCATAAGTTTATGTTGTGGCATGTAATTGTGGTTTCTGTGTGTGCAAATAGTGGTTTGCAAAGGCCAATATCGCTTTTACTATTGCTTAACACTGAAAAAATGATTTTTATGTTATTTAGATGTAAATATAAAAAAATGTATTGGAGTATATTGTACAAAATTACTGTTTCACTCTTTCTACTTCAGAATTTCACATTTTATTCTGTGTTACCTAAAATAGTTTTCTCAGTTTATATGCGGGATTAAAAGTTTAAAAGTATTAAACTGATACTCAACTTACTATTCTAAAAAATTGGATTTAGACATTTTGGTCAAATGGGTGAGAAAAAAAAATCCCATAGACTTTAGCCATATTTATATTTTGAGCCATATTTCGACTTGTGTCTGTAGGCAACCACCTAGCAACCGTTCAGAGCACCCTAGCAACCACATACCTATATGCTAAAATATTGCGACACGTGTTTTGAAAAGGCAAGCATAATGTGTTTTTCGTACATATCTACTTTAGAGTGTTTTCTTTTGTACATTCAATTATTTTGCGTTCATTGCCATAGTAACTTACACTGCACAGCTAACCTGCTCCAGGGCAGGTTATGTTCTGGGTAAGAGATCTCAAACTGAAATTGGACACCTATGCAGTAGATTCAAATCTGAACAAAGCACTGATGACCCTCTACAAAGCAGGTCGGTGGAGATCAAGATATCATCATGCTCAATATTTATCAGCGACGATCTCAAACACCTCCACTTTGCGGCTAAATTGAGATGTTGCCAAGCAACCGCATGGTATAGTGCCAGGAGCGCAGCTTTACAGCATCCCCAGTTGTGTCGTTTATCTCTTAGAAACACTAGACTGTCTGCCTTTTTCTGTAGAACAAGTTTAAAGGTGTCACACAAAACAAGCAAATGCATACTGCGATGCGTTCCGATGGCATAAGTTTATGTTGTGGCATGTAATTGTGGTTTCTGTGTGTGCAAATAGTGGTTTGCAAAGGCCAATATCGCTTTTACTATTGCTTAACACTGAAAAAATGATTTTTATGTTATTTAGATGTAAATATAAAAAAATGTATTGGAGTATATTGTACAAAATTACTGTTTCACTCTTTCTACTTCAGAATTTCACATTTTATTCTGTGTTACCTAAAATAGTTTTCTCAGTTTATATGCGGGATTAAAAGTTTAAAAGTATTAAACTGATACTCAACTTACTATTCTAAAAAATTGGATTTAGACATTTTGGTCAAATGGGTGAGAAAAAAAAATCCCATAGACTTTAGCCATATTTATATTTTGAGCCATATTTCGACTTGTGTCTGTAGGCAACCACCTAGCAACCGTTCAGAGCACCCTAGCAACCACATACCTATATGCTAAAATATTGCGACACGTGTTTTGAAAAGGCAAGCATAATGTGTTTTTCGTACATATCTACTTTAGAGTGTTTTCTTTTGTACATTCAATTATTTTGCGTTCATTGCCATAGTAACTTACACTGCACAGCTAACCTGCTCCAGGGCAGGTTATGTTCTGGGTAATAGATCTCAAACTGAAATTGGACCAATCAGATGTGAGCAAAGTGACACATGTCTGACACAAAAAAAAAGTCTCTCCCCCAGTTTCTCTTCCTACAAGTTAAAGGTCACTATAAAGTACTATTAATCCATCACACAAGTTTAACAATTATTATAAAGCATTTATTTTAAATGAATATTAATATATACAGATCATATTTAATATATATAAGTGGTAGAATCAATAGATAAGTGGTAGAATCAAGTTTCACTTGTGACTGCACTAATAGAGCAAGATTTAAAAATAAAATAAAATGTGTTTTATTTGTCCTCTTTCATGGACAAGTACTTCAGTGTAAATGCATTTATAATCCTCATATTCTTTGATCTCTTAACCTTTAAGAAAAGAGTTTTGAATCTCGCTGGCTCTCTTGCGAGAAGTGAATCACACTTGCTCTGTGTTGTGATTGGCTGTTTGCCACTGATGTCACACATCATGGTACCAACAAAGCCGTATTGGAGTGGTTTGGTTTTGTCAACTCGAAACTAATCCTGTAACTCTGAATTTGTTCATCTACCATCATGGTACAGGCCACTGGGCATTGCGAGGCATGTTTTGAATAGGCAAGCTTTACTTTATTTTCTTAAATATATACTTAAGTGTGTTTTGTGTCTTAAATTAAATTATTTTGAAAACTCAGTGAGCATTGTACAAACAGACAAGAAGCTTATGTTTTGGAGCAAAATATGAGTATTTTTGCCTGCTGAACAATATTCTAGGCAAATAAATCTCAGACTCACTAGTGGAGATTTAAGCCATATTTTGGCTTTGGTCAAAAGGCAACCACCTGGCAACCATGTAGCAATTGCTAAAAATATATAGTAGCAACTCCCTGGCATTGTGACACGTTTTAAAAGGGCAAGCATATATTATATTATATTATATTATATTATATTATATTATATTAATTGCTGTCAAACGATTAATCACGACTAATCACATCCAAAATAAAAGTTTTTGTTTACATAATATATGTGTGTATACTGTGTATATTTATGTATATATAAATACACACATGCATGATGTGTTATGTTGTTTAAACATTAAATATATTTGTATATAATATCAATTCTATGAATATAAATATATACATGTAAACATTTTCTAAATATATACGGTATGTGTGTCTTTATATATACATAATAAATACACAGACATGTAATATGGGCAC